GAACAATGGATTTTACAGTTAATCGTGACCAAATAGTTTAATTTCAGATTGTAATTATCTTTTACAAAGTTCCCATTTGCTATCATGGTGTAGTATCAAAGAATATCTAGGGTTTGGGGGAGATTTTTTGTTTTGGTCTACTGAAACAGAGTATTGCTCTACAGCCCCAGATGGCATCTCAAACTCAAAGCAATCCTCTTAGCTCAACCCCCTAACATCTTTTAAAAGGTGTGCTACCATGCCCAGCTGCAGTCTTCTTTAAAATCATTTTTCTGAGCCGGGGAGCTAGCTCAGCTGCATAGGCACCTGCCCGGGAAGCATAGGGTCATGAGGTCGATCCCTAGCACCAAGAAAAGGGGGAGCACTTGAAAAATCTTCATTTTTCCAAATACATTATGTGTCAGACTAGATTACCTTCATATCTTTCAACCAAAGTAATCTTAATGCAAATACACATACACAAAGTTTAGTATCCTTCATCAGAAGTGCTTAGCATCAGAAATATTTCGGACTTCACTTTTTGTACTTGGAAATAGTGAACCCTCCAGTTGTGACTGGCCTGATTTACCAGCAACGTGGGTTCTAATTGAAATTTCAATTTTAACTTACGACTGAAGTCCTCAGTTATGACCCAAATGCTATCATTTGTGCTTTCAGACAGCCTCAGTTAACCCTTAGTCATGGAAGGAACAGCACTACACACTTTCTCGTGTGGGCTGAGAAATCATGGGCCAATGGCTAAGGACAATGAGATCTGCCTGTACCCAGCAGAGACTTTCAGGGCTGCATGGAACTTGAGCTACAACCAGTGCTCAGGAACGAATCGAGTTCGCAAGTCAAAGGTCCACTGTACATGCATGTATGTAATAAATATCTTGAGGGCCCCAAAGCTAAACACAAAATCCACTTTAGACTTCATAGCTTATCTTACACATATACCCAAGAAATAACTATGAACAGTTTTTAGTGCAACTGTTTATAGCTCATCACAGGTTGGAATCAAGCCCTCAGTTTCACATTTGGTGACATTTTGATTTCCAATTAGGACTGTTCTAAGAAAAACTGTTTCTATTAAGCCAAATAGTTAAGATATCTGCAAAATGTTTTCCAAGTTATTTTCTAATAAAAACGAAGCTATGGGGCTGGCCAGATAGCTCAGTAGATTAAAGTGCCTGCTCAGGCAGACGCAGGGGTCAGGGATTCAATCCTTGGCCTTCCCTCGGAACACACTGAGACCACGAATGTGACTGGGCATAGTTGTACCTGCCTGTAATCCCAGCACTTGGGAGGCTAAAAACAGGAGGATCACTATGAGTCTGATCTGTGTAGAGACCCAGTAGACCTGTACTAAATACATAAAACAAAAATAAAAATGAAGCTATGGGCTGTGGAGATAGTTCAGTGGCACAAGCACCTGCCTGGCAAACATAAGGTCCTGAATTCAATACTCAGTACCTAAGAGTAAATAAAATAAAATTAAAATTAAAAAAATAAATAAATAAAAATGAAGCTGCTGGGCAGTGTAGCACCCACCCTTAGTAATTCCAACACTCAGGAGGCTGAGACAAGAGGAATGATTTGAGCTCAAGGCCAACCTGAAGTACATAATGAAACCAACTTCAGATAGACAGACAGACAGAAATATGGTAACCAAATATACTGTATGCTCCCCCCTCTATGAAGTATAAACACAGGCAACCACCTGTGTTAAAGTGAGATGTGCAACAAGAGGACTTAACAGGATCCTAACAATGATTCTTGATCTGACTACTCAGATTACTGACTTTCAGTGTCATGTACTATTATGTCCATTCATCTGAAATTCCGTCCATTCTGTGTTTTTCTTCCTATGTCCTCCAGTGAGTGGCTGTAATTAATCTGATTAGTCTTATACTCCCTATCCACTCTTTTCTTATTTTCTCGAATTCTGCACAACAGTTCCTTTCACAATCATGCTCCTAAGAATTTCCCTTGTACACAGGCTAAAACTGCAACTCAATGACAAAGAACATACTTAGCACGCACAAGGCCCAGAGTTCAATTCGTAGCATTAATAAATGATACCAAATATACAAGAGTATACCCATTTGTATATCTCACTTTACAAGGGTGAAGCAGTGTAATGAATGTCCTTCTCTCCACTCTGACTGGACAATTGCTACTGGGTCAGAGATGAGCATTTTCCTGAGGTCCCTTCATTCCCTTTCCCTTAATCTCTTTATGTACTTAATAGCTCCATTTTTGCTTCAAATTCGTACAAAATTTAAAAACTGTATACTCGGTGTTAAGGGTGTACACTATTTTCATTATGAATTTTAGACTACATGTATTAACATGTTTTCTGGGTCACAATTTTTTTCTATATAAGCTAAAATATCATACTTTCTATAAAGGGTTGTTTGCAGTTTACTTTTTGGGGGTACCAAGAACTGAACTCAGGACCTTTCGCTTTCTAGGCAGGCACTGTGTCACTGAGCTGCACCTCCAGCTATAAACAATTGTTTCAGCAGTTGCCCTGAGGTTTTTGTAGAACATGGTTTAATGAAGATACCCAGCAGCAAAACTAGCACCTGACACTGTAACTGGCAATGTATGTATTCTTATAGCCCCAATGTCTTACATAAGGGTAATTTCTCTGTATTAAAATTATTCATTAACCATTTAACTATCTTTTTGTTTGACTAACAGTACTAGAATTATCTTGCCATATACACTTTATAAAATAGATTCATGATAAAGTTTAACAATCAAGTTTATAAAATTAAATTCAACAGTGTCAGCACATGTGGTAGCTTTTGCTTATCTACTTTATAAAGGAAAAACAATGGGTCATCTCCTACATGTCTTTCAAGCTAAGTTATGAGTTAAATGTTTGCCTCTACACAAAATTTTAGACACACAAGTAGGAGAAAGCCACTTTTAATTGAAAAATAAAGCCATACATTTCAAATGAGACTGTGTGAAATAACAAAAGATGTAATTTGAGAAAGCTTTCCTAAATAGTTGGCGAAATTTTGGTATTCAAGTATTGTTTCCCTGTTTTATCTTGACTCAACTTAAAGCAATAATAAAAATAAGGACTTTTTCCATAAATTAAAGTACTATGAATTAAATCTGTGGTCTACCATCCCTATTCCTAACCAACTGACAAAAGGAGAGGAAAATTTAAGCAATTATTCCCATACTGAGAAGTTCCCATAGAAAAACAAATTAAGTCACTCATAAGACAGCTTATATGAAATATACCAGCCTACTACTAAATAATAACTCATTCACAAAATTTTAAACTACAACTTCACAAGAAGATCTCTACTATAATTTTTCTTTAAAGAACCTTGGAAATTCCAGAGTGGTTTAAGTTGAGACATTGGACACATTAAACTTTGAAATAAAATACTGAAGTTATTGCTTTAACCTGGAAAAAAACTGGTCAAAGCCTCTTTTTAAAGAGTTCTTTGTACAGCTGTTCTTAAAATTACTCATGTAGCTGCAGAGAAAATGTTTAAGCAAATAGTAAACATCACTTGGGAATGAAAGAACAAAGGTATTAAGATGTATGGCTTTTTGTGTTATTAATACTATCTATAAATAAAGTCATTCCTGTTTGACTGAAAAAGGTTTTATAAAACTCCACTTGCAAAATTAACTTTTATTAAATCAAGTTTTAAAAATGTTTATGGTAGAAAAGTCAACAAGGGTTTTAAAAGAACCAAAATATATCTTTTTATACAATATATGTATATATTAGCAGCAAACTACTTCTGAGATTTTTAAAGTTTTTTAGTTATTTATTTTAAAGAAAGCATAAACATTGTATATTAGTATGGAATGTCAGCAAATCTATTCTTCTTCACCCTTTATTCTGTAATCTGGCCACTCCACAAAATACTTTAGGATTCCTATTACTGAATACTAAGACCAAATCTCATTTTGACTAAAAAGTAGTACAACAGTGGCTGGTAAAACTTTACCAGTTGCACATTATTTTGAAAGTAATAAATGAGCACCATAGATGGGTGTACGTGTAAACTCAATTTCTAAGATGTAATAGCAGCCAACTATTCCATTTAACATTTGTTACATTTTAAAAATTCAGTGACATATAAAATTTTAATCAAATCAGATGTTTTAATCCCATATTGCTTTTTCATTTAAAATCCTTAATAGAAATTCTGCATATAACCTGACAAATTGCATGCAAAGATGTGTATATTATATATGTATACATACAAAAATGTATGCATATATATTTTTAGTTTTGAATGCATTTAAATATCTTATTTAAGTTTATCTGTAGAATATATGATCACCTGAAAGTCTGTACTACAAATTTGATCTTAGCTATTGAGAAACACTGGCTACTCAAAGTTATGAGGCCAAAGAACTGCTATACAGCTTGGGATGTACTAGACACACAAATTAGTCAAACAAGATTTAAATGAGCAGCTGCTCACCAAAGAAATACATTTTTGTCTTGATATTTCCTGCTAATAGTAAAAAGACAACATCCTTACAATGACCTTACACTTTTGAAAGTTTACTAAAGAAAAATCTCACTATTTTCAAAAATACTAACCATTATATAAATACAATTTTTTTCATAGTTGAATTCTTCAGCTAGAATGTATTTTTAAAAACTTCCTTTGGACTATTCCATTTAGCACTTCAAGTTTCCATTCTGCACCTCCGACAACTGGCTCAGATTTGTCAGGCTTGCATCAACTGCATCTTTCAAAATTTGTTACTGTGTTACTTACATACAAAAAAAGTAATAGTGAGTAACTGCACCAAATTTCAAAAGCAACATAGTAATGAAAAATCCAATCACATGTAATACAAAAAGAAAGTACAGCAGGGATTCCCTTCCCACCACATTAGTGATATATAATCTTGTTTTTTCTTCCATGCTTTTAAAGTAATATTGTAACTTTCATTTGCTTAACTTGTCAGGAGGATGAAAAAAAATTTTAGGTGGCCCACCTTAAATTAAAAAACTTAAATAGACTGAAGTACTTTTATTAATATACACGTCAAATTACTGAGACGATGACTTCATGTAATTTTCCCCTTCCAGATGGCACTTGCAGGTAAAAAGATGCAAAGATGTCTACAGACTTTAGATGTTTACTTGAAAAGATTCTTCAACAGCAGTTTGATACTGGGTTTCCTCATCTAGCTGAAGATTCTAAAACACAAATAAATACATCAGTAGGAAAATATTTAACTCTTCCATATTCTTGCCAATACATTACACACCTGGTTGTACATTATCTATACACTCAGGACAGTTTATGCACAGCATAAAGTATACTTTAAAACATACAATTAAGCTCGGCACAGTGGCATGCCACTCCCTATAATCCATACTATTCTAGACGGTTAGGAAGAAAGACCACTTGAGCCCAGAAGTTCAGGCCAGCCTGTATAATACAGCAGGACCTCATCTTTTAAATAAATAAGATTGAAATGCCTGGGCTTTAAAAATTAGGTTCAGCTGCAGTTTTTAGAAATATATAATATCATGCTGGGCATGGTGGCGCACACCTGTAACCCCAGTGCTGGGGAAGCTGAGACAAGAGAATCATTATGAGTCTAAGCTGCATAGCAAGACCCGTATCAAATACATAAATAAAAGTTTAAAAAAAAATTGGGAGAGATGGGCTGGGGAGACAGCTCAGTAAAATAAGTGCTTCCCTGGCAAGCGCAAGGTCTTGAGTTCAATCCCCAGTGTCACAAAAAAAAAAAAAAAAAAAAAAGACGGAGAATTAAATATATAGTGCCTAGTAATAATCATTTTTTAATTGCAATCCAGTCATGTGATATAAATTTCTGTTATTTCTAGAAAAGAATGCCAAATATCTGAAGGCAAACTAACAGAAAATATGCTTTTACTGAATTAACAGTTGAAGAGGGGCCAGGGAAATAGCTCAGAAGAATAAGCGCTTCACTGGCAAGCGCAAGGGCCTGAATTCAATCCCCAGTTCTGCAAACAAACCCCCCCCAAAAAACAGCGGAAGAACTATTAGCTCTTTAACCAGAACATGAAACTGAAAATCACATCTCACTCAATCTAAATTAGATAAGAAAACAAGTTCTTCTCTGGGCATGAAGCTTAGTGATGAAATATGTGCTTATCAACATGCACAAGTACATGTTAACGTGCAGAACAGAATAAAACAAAAGCAATAACCTAATGCTTAACTTCAAAAATGCTACTTGCTATCAATTTTACATCACACAGATTTGCTTTAAACTGAAAAGGCTTCTATACTTTAAACTTAAAAAAATTACAATTAAAGGAGCCAGGGAGATAATTTGGTGATCTAAGCACCAGCCTGGCAAGTGCAAGGACCTAGGTTCAATCCCAGGGACTACATGCCATGCTGGCCTATGCCAGCCACTGAAACCAGGTGTAGTGAAACTGGGTGTGGTGGCACATGTCTGTAATCCCAGCGCTGGGGAGGCTGAGGCAAGAGGATCACTAAGAGTCTGGGCTGTGTAGCAATACCATGTACCAAAAACATAAATAAAAGATTTTTTTTTTTAAATTACAATTGCAAGGTTTTCTATGGCAAGGAAAAACAATCTGACAATTAGATCAAAAGTTGTTCAGGGGGCCAAGGAGATGACTCAGTGGAATAAGTACTTGCCTGGCAAGCGCAGGAGGCCGAGTTCAATCCCCAGTTCCACCAAAAAAAAAAAAAAAAACCCTGAGATTTAGACTGGGCATGGTGGCATGCCTGTAATCCCAGCTCTTGGGAGGCTGTAAACAGGGGGATCACTATGAGTCCCATCTAGTAGTGAGAATCTGTAGATCCTATAGACCCTGCCCTAAAATAAAAATAAAATAAAATAAAATAAAAAGTATGGGATTTAACCATTAGAAGGGAAAGGAATAATACAAACTTTGCTCATGCCATTGTGAGAATTGCACCTACCTGTGCAATTACCTAAACTGGAAAGTAAGTACCAGCCATTCTTTGTCATGACTAATCTTGAGTTAGACTTAATTACATTGAATAAAATGCAATTTGAGGGGCCAGGGAGATAGCTCAGTAGAATAAGCGCTTGCCTGGCAAGCGCAGGGTCCCGAGTTCAATCCCCAGCATCGCAAAAAAATAAAAATAAAAAAATTGCAATTTGAATAAAATGCAATTTCATAATTAAAATTTTACAGAAAAATTCTAACACATTTTTGCTTTAGGGAGCCTCTCCTTTTGTTTTTGCAGTAGGGGGATTGAGCACAGGACTTCATGTATAAGCAAGCACACTACCACTGAACTACATTTACAGCCCTTATGAACCACTTTCACATTACTTCCTTCACTCACCTTGTGAAGTTTTCAACTTGGCTTTACAAGATAATTAAGCTCCTCCATTTATAAAACAAATTAAAAAGTACACGATGTTTCATGTGCCAGAGATGAGAACACTATTAGAGTGAATCTAGTAAGCAATTTACACCAGATAAGAAATATATCCTCAATATGTTGTGCCAATTTTACCTCTTAAGTAGTTTTTTTCTTTTTTTGTACCAGGAATCAAACTCAGGACCTTGCACTTGCCAGAAAGGCACTATGCCACTGAGCTATATTCCCAGCCCTCCTTAATTTTATAGAGTTTTTATATAAATCATTTATCTGATGAAAGTTTGTTTTCTTTTTTTCTTTTTTTTTTTTTTTTCAAAGAGTCTTGCTAGGTAGTTCAAGCTGGACATCAACACCCTATGTATGTCCAGGCTGGCTTGGAGCTCACTCACAATCCTCCTGGTCTCAGCCTCTGGAATGCTCTAGGATTCAGACACTTAATGCAGGGCCAAACTCTTCTATGAAGAACAGATAATAGATTCAACCTCTATCATTTCTTTAAAATTCACATTACCAAAAACAAAAGAACATACTCTATATCCAGTCAATATGATCCAACTGCTTGCCTTAAAACTCGTTTAGATTGAAAAGTTAATTTAACTTCAATATTTAAACAGTACTTTCTTAATCTTGAACTCACCACAAATTCTCCATAATCAAACTGATGTCTTTGATTTAGATGACTAACGAAATTTCTAGTAATCGAGCTAGGATCTCCCCAAGGAAGAGACACACAAATAGGACATGTCACAGGAACTACGTGAAATGGGTGGTTACTATTACAGTGATCCAGTAAGCGTTGTCTGGTAAAATTAGACTCTTGACACAAGGGACACTTAAAGG